GAAATTCCTGGAAAAGGGCCGCCCCCCGCCCCTCTCCCGGCAACTCCCGGCCTTGCTGCCCGCCCCGGCCTCCCCCTCTTCTCTTCCCCGAGTGCTGCCCCAGGTCAGCCTCCCCTGCCAGACTGACTCGCCAGGGCTCCGGGCCCGCCCTCACCCAGGTTGCAACCTGCCGAGAGCTCCCCCAAGTCTCTCTCCCCAGCATCTCCTGTGCGGGGAGGAGCCTCCAAGGGGACCCTTACCCCGCCGAACTGGTGAAGGGGAACCGGCGATCGCTGCGCAGCATCTGGCTGCGCCAGGAACCAGCGGGAGGGGAAAGGGGGAGAGAAGGGGCCCTAGGAGAGGCGGCGCTTCCCTCATCAACTGCAGGCCCAGGACATGACTCATAGGGTCTGCTCCCGCTCGCCCTTCTGCCCTGGGAGGTGGCGATGCCAGGGTAGGAACGAGGTACCCACCGAAGAGAGAGGTGTCCGAATCTGGTGCCTATTCCTCCAAGGTTGCCGTGTAGATTGGAGGCCTGGGGGGCCGAAGATCAAGCTGCCTTCCTTGATGGAGGATAAAGGAGGGCTAGGGGACCGAGAATTTCCTCCTTTGAGGGGGTCACCGTTCTGGGACATGGGGACTCTCCTTTGGCACGGGCCTTCTTTGCTCCGAAGCCAATGGAATCTACCCCCACTCCCCCAGGGCTTTTCCTTTTTGTAGTCTGCAGGCTAGAAGAGGGGGTGAAGTCGCTCAGTCATGTCCGACTCTTCGCCACCCCACGGACTGACTATAGCTTAGCAGGCTCCTCCCCGTCCATGGGATTTTCCAGGCAGGAATACTGGAGTGGGTTGCCATTTCCTTCTCCTGGGAATCTTCCCGACCCAGGAATCGAACCCAGGTCTCCCGCATTGCGGGCCACCAGGGAAGCCCAGAAGAAAAAGTAGCACACGGTAAATCTCACCTTCATAGGGATCCAAAGGGAATCTCTTGATTCCGAGAGAGGAGGGGGAGGGCATAAAGGCGATGTGATGGGGCGGGTAAGCAGTCCCTCAAAGAAGCTAAAACCTGAGCGTTTACTAAACCTTGCAAAGTGTCAGGAACTGAATTTGGGGATGTAAAGATAAGTAAAGAAAGGAAAACTATTTAAGGGGAGGGGACTGTGAATGAAATCATTCCCAAGAAGAACGAGCGTATCCTGGAGAAATCTGAGCGCTGAGTGTTTGGAATATTGGAAGAGTATCTTCAAACAGATTCCCAGGAAGACGCATGAAGGCTGTCACAGGTAAAGAGGGGAAAAGTGACCACCTCCTCTGACACTTAGCTCCTCCCTTCTGCCTGACTCGACCAACTAATCACCCTGTTATAAATAAGTCCTCTCCCATCTCTCGACCTCAATTTCCACAGATGTTGTCTGACGGAGTTGGACGGGACAAATCCTGCTCTAACATTCTAGAATTTTGCTTCACTCTACTGAGTCAATCTAACTACAGTATTAATTCCAGTTTGCAGTGGACCTGCAATCCTTCATCCTCGGTGGCGCTCGTGGTAAAGAGCCCGCCTGCCAATGAAGGCAAACGTAAGGGACTCGGGTTCGATCCCTGGGTCGGGAAGATCTGGAGGAGAGCATGGCAACCCACTCCAGTATTTTTGCCTGGAGAATCCTGTGAACAGAGGAGCCTGACGGGCTACAGTCCATGGGGTCGCCAAGAGTCGGGCACGACTGAAACGACCACAAGCACACAATCCTCCTCCCTAAAGTTACTCAAGATGCGAAGCGCTCAGATCCGCGCAGCCGCAGGTTACGCCACTGAAAATAAACGCGTGTCTCCAAAAAACTACAACCCCCATGAAGCTTTAGGGTCTGACAAGCGGAGGGGTGGCGCTAGCTTAGTCTCTCTCGCGAGGAAATAAAAAAAAATCTAACTACCATTCCCGACGGGCGCAGCGCTGCAGATTGTCCAATCAGCGTTAAGTATAAAGTATCGCGAGTCTTCGGTGAGAGTTGGCACTATAAGCCCGTGGTAAGAAGTCTCAGAAACCCTTTTCATGAAGATGGCGCCGAAGGCGAAGAAGGAAGGTGTGTGCTGGGGCTGGGGATCAACAGCTGACTGGCCGAGGGTCCCCGCAGAGTGAATGAACTGGGAGGACGATGGCTGGGCCAACCCTTGCGGTGTCTGCTCCTTAGCAGCTTCTTGCGTTTCGGCAACGCTAAGGAGCGCGTACGCCCAGCTGCATGGTTGGGGCTCTAGTGAAGGGGGTTGGGGAGGCAAGCCTGGTCTATACCGCCTACCAGGGACAGCCGGGTCGTCAGCTCTGGGAAGCTCCATGTTTCCCAAACCTGTAAGGAATCAGTACTCTCAACTGTTTGACCCCACGTTAAATGGGTAGCTGTGCGATGGTATATATAAAACTAGTTCACATTCTAGCAAGTGCCAAGAGTTCGTCATTGCTAGTTTATTCCTCATTTTATCCTAAGTTCGTCCTAGAATCGTGCATATGATGGAAAAATTTTAATCTCCTGAAACTTGTGATGTCTTCAAAGGAACCACTGATGCACGTGTGGCCTGGGACGGCCACTACCGGTCTTGAGGCCGGAAGTGATTTCTAAATTCCTCACCCTCGTTTTCTTTCCTTTTATCAGCCCCTGCCCCTCCTAAAGCTGAAGCCAAAGCAAAGGCTTTGAAGGCCAAGAAAGCAGTGTTGAAAGGTGTCCACAGCCACAAGAAAAAGAAGATCCGGACGTCACCCACCTTCCGGCGGCCCAAAACACTGCGGCTCAGGAGGCAGCCCAAATATCCTCGGAAGAGCGCCCCTAGGAGAAACAAGTCAGTACTGCCCCTTGTTCATGAAAAGATGTTTGGGTATCCTCTATTGGTGATTGGGAAATGTGCCAAACCTAGAGTACGGCTCCTCAAAGTCACGTTGGTACCTAGTGTGCTTGTCTGACGGGAGTATGAGGATTGAAACAACTCAGAGTCATTGTCAAGGTTAGTCGATTGTTGGATTGTTTCACATATGGTTTACATTCTGGTGAGTATAAAGTGGGACTGAGTTCCAGGTTTAGGATCTGTATTGGACAGTGAAGGCCTGCAGCAGTATATAGCAGCTTCTTTTCATTTACTTTCCCAAATGTTTACACTGAAGGAATGGTTAGGGGAAGTGGGCAAAAGTTTAGCGTACGTGAGTGTTCTGGTGTCACACTACTGGTGATGACTGACCTTACAGAGCACAGTTGAGAGCAGAGCCATGGTAGTGGTTACCACCAAAGGTAATTTAACCATTGCTTCCTACGAAAAAGGCAGGAGAGTAGATTGTGTCCACAGAGAAAACTTTTACCCCCATTTGGACCTAGATGATAGGTGATGAGAGGTTGAGACCTGATCTCTATCTTCAAAAAAGGACAGTGTACCCAGGCAAACAGAGCTTTGCTTCCAGAATTTCAGAGGGAAAGCTGTATTCTGAGGGGCTATTGTAACTTTAACCTAGGCTGTAAGTAAAAAGTTGTTCTCAAGAATTGATGGCTTGTCACCACTTTTCAGTAATCGAAACAGGGAAAAACAGTCAATTCAGTCTCATAGTGAAGCACCAACATTCTTTGGAACCCTAGCCTGGATTTCAGGATTCCATAGTCTTAACTTTGCTCTTGGGTTTGGTTTTCTAACCTCTTAAGTCTCAACTTTCTTCTAGAAACTTGCTCCTCAGGAATGTTGGTCAGGTAAAGAATGAAGAGGGTTGGAACTCAAAGATGATTGTTTAATCTCTTAAAAGGATGAAAGCCCTTGAAATGTCACTAAGCCAAGGCTCCAGGTCCCCAGGTTTCAGGGTGCATGTGATGACACTGTTCAGCGACCAAAGTCTGACAGAAATGATTGCTATCATTGTCTGATGCACCTGGGCTCTTTGAGCCTTGGCCTCCAAAAAAGGGCCCATCCTTTTATTGGACCCATGCCAGGTAACCCCATTTTACCTTTCTCCCAGACTTGACCACTATGCCATCATCAAATTCCCCCTCACCACCGAGTCAGCCATGAAGAAAATAGAAGACAACAACACACTGGTATTCATTGTGGATGTCAAGGCCAACAAGCACCAAATTAAACAGGCTGTGAAGAAGCTCTATGACATTGACGTGGCTAAGGTCAATACTCTGATAAGGTAGGTGAGTGGGGCCCTGTGGGATGGGGAGGAGGCTAGGGCCTCTGTCATCTAAATGGCATGAAATTCCTTGATGCTGCTTTTGGGGTCCGAAGTAGGCTTCCCAGAACGTCAGCTGTCCTGTCTCTAGGACTTAAGGGTTAGTGCTCATTTTCCTGATCCCTATCTCTAGGCAAAAGCAGGCCCTAGAGTAAGGTACAGTTAATGTCAGAATACCTGTGGTTTGTGGCTTAGTGGCTTCCCTGACTCCCCCTGTGCAAATGATGGAAAAAAAGTCACTATTGGTGAGGGAAAAAAATGACATGAACAAAGGAACCACTGATGCACCAGAAGTCTGGGTGGAAGAGGGTATGGGGGCAATGAGGGGCAGCAAGGATTAAGGCTTCCTTCACCACCCTAGGCCTGATGGAGAGAAGAAGGCATATGTTCGACTGGCTCCTGACTATGATGCTTTGGATGTTGCCAACAAAGTAAGCTTCCTTTGCTACAAACTCCTTAACACTCTCCCTTCCTGGGTGCAAATGATGTGTCTGTTAGTGACCAAAGCCTGACTTCGGTGATTAGTCTTAACTGACTGACTGCTACTCTGTCTTTTAAAAATACTGTGACATTCTCTCTTAATCTTCACATTTCAACTCCCAGTAACAGTTCCCTTTTGTTTTTCAGATTGGGATCATCTAAACTGAGTCCAGCTGGCTAATTCCAAATATAAAAGTTTTCACTATGTATATGCTTCTTGTCTTTATGTTGATTTTTGGGTGAGGGGCCATACTGTGGTACATAAACACTTGAGTAACCAGGCTTGATTGGTCAAGATTCTTGGTCTACTTACCCTGTTGGAACACTCAGCCATATCACTTCACCATACTTGCACCAGAGATTTATGACCCAGATTAGAATTGGTTGTCCTAGGACAGCTACAACTTGACCTCTATCCTGGAGGTAAGAGACCAAGCAAGAAGCTTTACAAGAACACCTTCCTTTATCTGGAAGAGGCTTGGTATGAGACCAATATCCAGAGGTTCCATTAGCATCCATTTTAGGGCTGTGTGGCTTGGCTGGCTTTGCAGTAGCACCTCACCCCACACCCATCTACCTCGTCCAACCGGTCTGTCTGCTTCCCTCACCCCTTGCCCCAGAAAGGACAAGGACTTCAGAGACATTCTTTCATTAGTGTTTTAAATAGCAGGAGCAGGCTTGGTGGAGAGGCTGGCCCCAAGAGAACACCTCAGGCGAGGGGCTAAGCCTCTTCTCCATTCCTGTGAGGCTGTTCTTGGCGGTGTTTGTTGTCCTTGCCACAAATCCCTAACTGCTTTTTCACTCAGTCAAGAACTTGTCTTTGTGTTGGTGGCTGGGGATGCGCTGGGGACAGAAGTCTGAGCGGAGGAGGCGGGAAAAGTAGACAAGGATCATGACATCCAGCATGAGCAGGATGGCCAGCAGAAAGGTTCCCAGGGTCCTCTGGCCTGCGTAACCCAGGAAGAGATGGGTGAGGTAGGCCTGAGGGGCCAGGCGGAAGAGGAAGTACATGACCAAGTTGATGTATTTGTTGACCCGATAGAGAAGGAGATGCTGGGCATTATTGATCTTCATCATCATGCGTATCGTGAGGAAGATGTTGCTGACTTCCACCAGCAGTGTTAGGACACCCCCACCAACAAATCTGCTCCAAAAGATGCCTGAAAAGAAGGCACCCATAGCCTACAAGGCAAGGGAGAGAATGGGTTAGGGCCCGGATACCACGGTTTCCTTGGAACTTCGTGGGAATATCCAGGGTATCAGGAGGGATAAGAAGTCCTTCAATATCTTCACTCTGAAACAAAGCTTACAGTGGATTCAACAGTAGTAAACCTTGATCTCTGCCCACACTGGCTGGAAGGCCGTGATTGCTGGCCAAGTAGTGAACCAAGGGCTCATTCTAGCCCTCAGCACTGTAGCATGAGATGTGGGACATGGTGGGGATGGGGTTTAGAAAAGATGGTCTTTACCTTCCAGGTTCAGGTAGCTTCAGGTATAGGCACCAAGCCTATACCACATCCCCAGCTTCTCACTTACCATGACGTGGTGGACGAGATATTCCCAAGAAGCTCTTGACTGATGGCTAATCACGATATCCACCGTGTCGTGGATGAAATACCCTAGCGGAGGGATGGGGGAGAGGTTGTAAAGGGTACCGAATTAGAAGTTTATCCCTGTCTCCCCACCCATTTAATGCCTCCCAGCAAGATCTACCTGCGGAGAAGCAAACAAGCAGGTAGCCAGAGAGCGACCATGCTTTCTCAATCTCCACCAGCATCTCAGGGGTCTGCCATATACTGAAAGAGGGAAGAAGGCAAGCTATCATTTCAGTATCCCAAAGGTCCCACAAATCCCCCTATTACCCTAGCCAGTCCGCTATTGGCTGACGGGGGAGCGAGGAGGGGCTTGGCTGAAACCCAGGTGTGTCCCGTTTCCCAGGTGAGAAACCTCCCCCCTACCCCCCGGCCGCCTGGGGCTGCCGCCGCTCCTGGTTGGACAGCATTACAAGCAGAGAATCAGGTGAGACTGTCTGGGCCACAGCCCGCCGGTGAGTGATGGAAAGAGGAATCCCCAGCCACCTTCACTCCCCCAGTCCTTCACTCACCACAGCAGCGCCCAGATCCCTGACACAATGGAATGCGCGAAGGAGACGAGCAGGTTGTGCCAGCGCCAGGTCCGCAGGGGGTCTGCCCGCACGTGAGCGGGCAGGGGCAGGCGACAGAGCGCGTGCCGGACTGCCCGGAAGGTCAGCGTGGCGCCCAGGAGAAGCGGCAGGGCGGGGAGCAGCATTGGGGGCATGCTGGCCCTCCCTGCCTCTGTCCGCCCTCCAGGTGGCCTCCTCCGGCTGTTCGGGGACGGGGCTCCCTCGCGGACCAGTCCACCCTGGATCCCTGTCCTGCCAGCCGCCGACTTCACACACACGGTTTCGCAGAGCCCTGTAGGCCCCTTCGCTCCTCCACTCCGGCGCCTCTGCGGCGCAGAGGGCACTAGCCCCATTTCCCCCGGGCCCCCCAGGCCCGCCAGGCTTCCGCGGACTTCCGTCAAAAGGAGCTGTCCTGGGGACGCCGCCGCCGAGCCACCCCTCGCTGGCGCCTCCCGACGGCCGACGGAGTCCCACTTCGCTCGCTTGGCCTCGCTAACCCTCAGCCACCCTTTCCCCAGGCGTTCCGGCTCCCCGGCCTGGGCGCCTACTGAGAGAACTTTCTCTCCGCCTTCAACTCTTTGGTGGGCAGAGCGGAGCGGAGCGAGACCCGTCACAATCCACGTCCTTAATCCCTGGTCCCAGGGACCAGCCGGTACCCCGCTTCGTACGGTGATCTCCGCCCGGACCTTGTTCCACTGGATCACTAGTTTCTTGGCGCCCAAGACGTACACGTTTACCTGCCTCTACCTCGCCCCGCACCGAGTCGGTGCCTAGAAACTGTCGACTAACCCGTCAGCACCCCTCCTCCCAGCCGGCTCTTGGGCTCCTGGGGCCGCGCGGCACTCACAGTCCTCCCTCACAGTCCCAGCTCTCTTCTCCCGGCTCCCTAGAGGCTGGGGCGGGGAAGACGGCCGATTTGCCCAGGCCGCCAGGGTGACTCTGCAGGCCAGTGGACTGGAGCAGATGCAGCTCGCGACCACAAGGTGTCAGCCTATCCTCACCGTGGCGCGGATCCCCTCCCACCGCCAAAGAGGTGATTGTTCGGGGTGGAGTTAGCCAGACTCCGCAAACAGAAGGGCTGTGGAGAGCTGGGGGTGGGGCGGAGGGGGCGGAGGTGCTGTGAGCGGGAAGAAATATCAGAAGCCTTGAGGCGCCAAGAGGTTTGGGTGTTTGCTCTGCTTCCCCTGCTGACTCCAAGGTTACACATTAACCCCTTTGGGGCTCCTTGGTCAACCCAGGCCTGATCGGTTTCTAGGTGAGAGCACGGACTGTCACGGCTGAGCGGTTTCTCCCCTTAGGCTCCCCTTTGCTCTCAGGGCAGCTTTGTCCGCTAGCCACACCGGCCTGAGCCAGACAGAGGTTTGGGGCGGGGGGGGGGGGGGGTGTTCTTCATGAGGGGTCCTTCTAGTGGTCATCCGCGTGGATAAGTTTGGGCACCCTTTCAAGGGGCAGAGTAGGAGCTGAAGATAAATACCCCTTTTCTCACATTCCTCGCCCACTCAGAAATAGGGACGCTGTCCCTTAGCTCATCACCATCCTTCCTGCTTCCTTAACTGAGCTTTTATGGAGCTATGGAGCTCGTGAAGAGCAGGAGGCGCCAGGGAGAGACCTGAAATTAAACACACTTCTGATCAAGATCTTAAACAAGTGTACAAACCAGCCCCCCTACCTCTGGGCAGAACCCTTGAACTCATATCAGCTGAACGACTCATTCTCCCTCTTCCCGATTCTTTCAGGTAGCAGTCCACTTCCCTCCCATCTTCTCCCGAGGAGGTCCTCTCTAGTAAAGTGTTGAAGTCAGATTGCTGCAGCGGCAAACGTTGTACTGTGCTCTGGGGAGTTGAGAGTGTTGACGAGCTCAGAGCTCACCAGTCGGGACAGCCCGGAAACCGTGTCACGTCCTCCCTAGGTGAATCAACTTACACAGCTCAGGGTTTCCCCGGTCCCACCCTAGGCAAACACGAAACTAGCCTTGCACCCTGCCCACAGACCGAGAGCGCTGACTCGGTTCAGTTTTGGTAGTTGATCGTCTGCGTGCTAATGAGAATCTTCCCTGTACTTTGAAAACATTGTGATTTTTAAAAAAGAAAGAAAACAGCATGATTAGTGGACAAAGAGTGGGGCAGAGAGAGATCCGTCCTTTCTTCCCACCCTCTCTTGACCTGCGCGGGGAACCCCTCCGGTCTAAGGAAGAACTGCAAGGGCCGGATGCGGCCACGTGTGTAGGCAGTGGCTGGTACAGTGCTGACCTTTGCGGGGCGTGCCAAGAAATGGCATATCGCCCTATTCCTTGGACCCTAGAAGGCCGACTGCGGATCCGAAATACAGAAAGTGTGCAAGTGAGCAGAGACAAATAAGAGGCTGAACCAACACCTAACTCCACTAGCTCCTCCCCGTAATTATCTTGAATGGCAGTGGGCGTGGTTCTGGAGAGGGCGGGTCCGCGCACGCGCTGCCTTTGGGTTTGGGGGTTCCGGAAATGTGACTCGGAGAAATGAGATGGAGAAGTACGAGCGGATCCGAGTGGTGGGCAGAGGTGCCTTCGGGTGAGCCAGGGCTCTGGGGGAGGAAAGCGCTTGGGGAGAGGGAAAATCAGCCCCCCAATTCTGACCTCAAAATAGCCGCCCATGTAGCCCCGCCCCGAGGCGTGAGCGCCCACTCCGGGAAGCCCCTCCCAGGCTTCCGGTTCTAGTCCTGCTTGGGAAACTCCGCCTCCAAGGAGGTCACGCCCCCGGCCGGCCTTCGCGGCCCCCCGCAGTTTGTTCTTTAATCCTGACTCATTCATTCAACAAATGCTGAGCGGCTGCTATAGTCGTCAGGCTTTCGGTGATGTGTATACAGTTAAGACCAAAACAGGCGTGGTCTTCTCCCTCTTGGAGCTTACAGACTACCTGAAAATTATACTATAAACAGGACGTTGTTAAAGCAGTGATTAACAGACAGAATAGAGTACAACACGAGGGAGTGTTCATTTGGGATGGTTAAGGAAAAGTTCTCTGAGAGGTGAAATTTAAAATCAAGACTTGAGGAATGAGAACCGATACGTAGTGAAAAAAGCAAAGTTTCTCAAGCGAAGGAAACAGCTTTTGCTAACGTCCTCACGTGGGAAAGAATTCAGAGTATTCAAGGAACTGAGAAGAAGACTAATGTCATTGGAATGTAATGGGCAAAGTAAAGAATGGAATAAAATGTGATTGTCACAGAGGGCGGGAACCAGATTATGGCCTTGTGTGTGTGCGTGCATGCTAAGTCACTTTAGTCGTGTTCCACCGTGTGTGACCCCATGGACTGTGTCCCGCCAGGCTCACAATATTTTGGAGGTAGTAGAAACAGGGTTTACAGATATGTTAGTGTGAAATGGAAGAAAAATTCTGGCATGATTTTCAGGTGTCTGACTTTAATAACTAGTGGATGGTGGTATCATTTACTGAAACAGGAGGAACTGAGGAAGGAAAGGTCAGGGATCAAGAGTTTTGTGTTTGTTACATTTTAGAATGCTTGTGGGCCATTCAAGGAGAGATACAAAACAGGTAGTTGAAAATGTAAGTCTGAGGCTCAGAGGAGAAGTCTGAGCTGGAGATAGACATTTGATACTTAGAGAATCCTTCATTCAGCAGATACTTGTAGAGCTCTTTCTAAGTGCTGGGGTAGCACTAGGCTATGCACTGGGGCTATAGTGGTGAAGGAGAAAGAACAAAACCCTGCTTTTATGAACACTGACTACAGAGTTGGAAGAAAATAATATAATGAATGGCTCCTGCTGATTGAGTATTTTTGATGTGCCAGGTAGTGTGCTAAGTGCAGAACTTGCATTTTCTTATTTGATCCTCTCAACTACCTTGTGAGATCGACCCTATTTTTTCCAGAACCTGATGTCACGTAATTTAAGACCAGATAACTTGTAAGAGGAGGAGCCAAGATTTGAACCCAGGCAGTTAACTCCAGAATCTGTGGGGACTTACTGAGCCCAGGACTAACTTTACGTCTTGGAGCCTATGGTGAAACTGAGGCCCGGGGACTTACTGAGCCCAGGACTAACTCTACGTCTTGGAGCCTATGGTGAAACTGAGGCCCGGGGACTTACTGAGCCCAGGACTAACTTTACGTCTTGGAGCCTATGGTGAAACTGAGGCCCGGGGACTTACTGAGCCCAGGACTAACTCTACGTCTTGGAGCCTATGGTGAAACTGAGGCCCGGGGACTTACTGAGCCCAGGACTAACTCTACGTCTTGGAGCCTATGGTGAAACTGAGGCCCGGGGACTTACTGAGCCCAGGACTAACTCTACGTCTTGGAGCCTATGGTGAAACTGAGTCCCGGGGACTTACTGAGCCCAGGACTAACTTTACGTCTTGGAGCCTATGGTGAAACTGAGGCCCGGATAAGTTTAAAGACTTGCCAAAGGTCTCGCACAGTTTGTGGTCTGTTCTCCCTACTCCTCACTCATGTTCTGTGCACTTACTTAGATGACTTCTTAGTGTAGGTGCTTATTCCCCCGTCCTAAGAAACATCCAGTCACCAGTCTGACCTGCTTGATACATGGCTGGAGGCTCAGTCCCTACTCCTGTATTCCATGTCCTCAGGATTGTTCATCTGTGCTTGCGCAAGGCTGACCAGAAGCTGGTGATCATCAAGCAGATCCCTGTGGAGCAGATGACCAAGGAAGAGCGGCAGGCAGCCCAGAACGAGTGCCAGGTCCTCAAGCTGCTCAACCATCCCAACGTCATTGAGTACTACGAGAACTTCCTGGAGGACAAGGCTCTCATGATCGCCATGGAGTATGCACCAGGTGGGACAGCCTTCTTGCATTGGCCTGAGGGCCTCTCGCCACTGGGACAACCCCGATTCCCTCTTTGGAGTGGGCTTGGCTGAGGGTCCGAGGTATATAGAGTTCTGACCCCAGGAGTGTGATACTGGCAGAGCTTCCTTGCCCTGTCTGGGCCTTCAGTTTCATAAAGGGGAAGGCTCGAGCACAGAGAAGCCTCGGTCTTGACGAGCTTCCTGTGGCTGCAGGCGGAACCCTGGCCGAGTTCATCCAGAAGCGCTGTAACTCCCTGCTGGAGGAGGACACCATCCTGCACTTCTTTGTGCAGATCCTGCTGGCACTGCAGCACGTCCACAGCCACCTCATCCTGCACCGGGACCTCAAAACCCAAAACATCCTTCTCGATAAACACCGCATGGTCGTCAAGATCGGCGACTTTGGCATCTCCAAGATCCTTAGCAGCAAGAGCAAGGCCTACACGGTGCCTGGGGCGGAGGGGCCCTCAAGGGTGCTGGAGGTTTTGGGAGGCCAG